TTCCATTTATTTATTTAGTCTTTTTTTAATCTAGCAGTATCAGACAGAGTATGAAAATTTGGAGAAAGAGTTTATTCCGGAGAAAAATAGAAACACGTGTAAAGAAGATAAGAAAACCAAAATAAAGTGCAGCGTCTTTCTTCCGTTTTTGTTGCTGTGAACGATCTTTTTGAGTTACCGAAATTCAACTTTTTATTAAAAAAATTCAGCTGAATAGTTTGAAGAATTTTCTTGATACTGAATAGAAGGATAACGCCGAAAATCTAACTTTTATAAACTATTTTGCATAAGAAATAAATATAAACTATTACACAATACTATTGAGTGAATTAATGAAAAATATTCGGAATATAGTAAGTATTTGGATTTTACTGTAAAGATTTGGTCTCGAAGCTACAGCGTACAATAAATCACATTTAAGGATTACAATTTTATTTTCAAGTGGAATAATATCTATTTGGAAGATAATCATATTCAGTAAAAGTTCGATAATCCAGCAAGTTTGGGACTTCGATAATGCCGGATTATCAAATATAGCGGATTGTCAGACTTATCAAATAATGATGATTTGTCTTCTCTGCGATTAAATAATTAAGAATAAAGGCAATATGTAGAGCTACCAAATTATGAAAACAAATAGTTCTCTACCGAAAGATGGGCACCTCGAAGGCCGAAGTTTTAATTTGCCTTTGATTTACATTATATTTTGTACGAATTTAATGAACTTTTGAATTATAAATTCAGCGATTTGGAAGCAGATACTGTAATGAACGACTGTTGCCATTCGGTAAAATGTTAAGAATTATTCTTTCAGTTATAATCAGGAAAACTCAACTATTCAAATGCAATGCGTTTCCACCGTTTGGAATAAAATGCTTTTACCTTCCATGTGCTAGTGTGTTGCCATTGAGTAAAGCGTAAGATGTTTACCGTAAACTAAGTGACATAAAGGCAATAAACACAGTTGACGACAATATTTTTCCTCTACATTAATTGATTTCAACAAAAATGCATTTAAATGAGATGTCTAATTAGAAATATAAGGTACGTTTCTGAAATTATACTAACTGAATTCATTAAATTCATTATATATTTTTTCTTTTTTAAAATAACTGTTTTAGGCGACTGGCCGCGCAAGCGGCAGGTCAAATAAAAAATTTAATTTAATTCACAGAATTGCGGTAAAAAACAGGCTTTTTAATTAAATCTAACTCATTGCAAGAAATCAAACCCTACGTAAAGTCTGCAATCGCATTTATTGACTAAAAATACATTAGAAGATAAACGACAGAACATACATACTTTATTGTACTTTATCAATTTATAATTTGAAATCTGTTTTAACGCAATTGCACAAAGACTTCAGGGTTTGAATTTCTACCTTCTTCTCAAACTATAAATGAGGAGAATTTATGAAAGTTTATTATCTTTACGCTACTTTGTGGTTATTATGCTCAGTTAATTTCAACAATGCAGTGCATGCGTCAGCAATCTTACGCCAATATTAAACCGTCCTCTTTGTCTTGTATAATTTTTCACACTATCGAAGATTTTCGCAATTGGTTCATGTTCAGCTTTCTGAATCGATTTTGCGGATTTTGTCTTTAAACAGCGAGACTACAGAATTTTTAGAACAAATCCATTGGACTGAGTTTAACAGCTTAGTTATATCACAGGAGTTAATTATAGGATTGTCAATACTTTTGTTTTCTTTAACATAAATATAACTCATAGCATTCAGCTATGATGATGGTGGAGCAAATGTGGAATGCTTCGGATAATTTCCGAACGATGCATTCGTTTCTCACATAACACAAGTTTCTCACATAACACAAGTTTCTCACATAACACTTATAGCGAATATATGCGTGCCGGATTATTAGATTTTTACTGAACTGTAAACCCTTGCTGAACTATGATTTGAGAAATGCGATTTTGCAAATATACTCCTTCTTAATCGTTTTAATTTTGTCCAACATTATAATTTCCATTTTATCCTTAGCTCAGCGTTCATTCATCAACAGCGAATGCTTGCATGCATCAGCTCTGGACTGAAGTAATTAGCAGTTTTAAAGGATTTCCATACATTGAAAATGAAGCCAAAAAAAATCTTACAAATTGTAAAACAATTGGTGGCAAAGAATTTTGTAAATATGGAAGAAGTGCAGTATTTTTAAGTACAGAGATGTGATGAAGAACTGGATTATCCTTTAACTCCAGTGAACAGTTAAAACAGTGTTAATGAAGAAGATAAAAATCCTTCAATTTACAAAATGTTAAACGAGTTGCTATAAAAGGCACATGAATTACCTGATTTCGCGATGGAGTTCGACCCAAATGAAGAAAGCAGAGACCGAATGAAATCTTTGGCGCTCTTTTCCTCAAAACTGTTAAGAAATGCATTACTTATCGTCCCAAGTAATAATACCAGCTTTAAAAAATAATTTCATCACCTATTTATTGAGCAGTAGTAAAAGTACTTTCAATTAATATTTGTTTCTTTTAATTACAACGATATTTAGGTTTTTTTCATTACAATTACTTTCTTAATTTGAATTATAAGTAAACTAAACTAAACTCAGTGGCACAACAGCCCTTAGAGAGCCATGGCCTGCAGTGTTCTGATATCTGCTTTCTGGAGAGTGAGTCCCGGATGCATGAACATATGCCCTGGACAAGAAGATCAGCTTGTGGCAAGGACACCTGTAGTACTGCTGCGCCACCGGGCCTCAATCTGAATTATACCTAATGCAATTTTCCCATTGAAAGTTAGCTTTGCCGAACGGGATTTTACCGAACTATAATATCCTGATGACGTAACTTCTTCCTCCGGCAAAGGTTTACTGTTGCAGAAACAACCGTGGATAATATTATAATGTTTCAAATGTTCAGAACTTAAAGCAGATAACCAGAATAACGCTTAATGCCTTGCAGTTAACAATATGTAAAAACCGTTATTAGTATATAATATTCAGTCTTGTTACTCTGGAGTCTTCTCCGCCGTGATGGTATATAATTCCGTTTGGTTCATGTCTGTGGTCGGAAGCCATCATAGCGGTGCACTCACTCACTCACTCACTCTATCCCAAAAGTGAATTTTTTTTTCTATTTATGCGACAGAAAGTTATAAATTTGTTACGAGTAAAATATATATTTATTGTTTTCGGACGGATATTGCTTCAAAATATGTTATTATGTAGTGATTAAGCAGTGTTAATTCAAAAAGGTGGAAAGAAACAATAATCATGGTCTAGCTCAACCACCAAATGATATGTGGCGTGGCAAGTATTGGCATTTCACGAGGGTCCATAAGTACTTTATTTGTTACTCAAATAGGTTATCAAATTGTCAATTTTAGCTGCGTGTAGTCCAAGGTCTTTACCTCTCCAATTAAAATACTGTGATAGTTAACAAATTTACTAATTTGAAAGCAGTTATATGTCCTCCTGATTGGGTTTTTATCTAATTTTTATAACTCTATTTGATAAAATTCATAAATGTAAATCAGTTATATGCCCTTTCTAACTGGGTCTTTATGCTACATTTATACCTCTGTTGATGCAGCACATAAAACATCTAATTCGCGTAATTTATCATATTAGAGGAATCTGGGGTGAGGAATTCAATTTCAGTGATGAATGATGAAATTTTAGTGCCAAAGAATGACTTTTGTCCCTAACCGATGAGTCACAAATCATATGATAATAAAATGGGATAAATATGATTACTTCGGTATTTAAGCAAATGCAGAGTGACATTACGTACAAAGGTAAATAAAGATACGCGTATTTATTTGCGCTCATATACGCCTCGTATATTATATATATATATATATATATATATATATATGGTGTTGTAGTAAGATTGATATGATTTATAATGAAATAAAATTAAAGTCTTTGAGATAAAACAGAACTTTTTATATTACTTTGAAGTGAAACTTATGGCATTATGTTTTGAATAAAACGTCATTTAAGTGTCCACCCGGAGTGCACGCGAACGAATTCGAGGAACCCAATTTCCGATGACTTTATGTAATAACTCGAGCTATGGTTAGTTCGCCTTGATTACTGCTTTCAAATAACTTCACGAAGTACCATACAGAAGCAGTAACCCTGAGGAATACCCTAAACCCTAACGGAAGAAGTCTATCTCACAGTTGCATTTTGGGAAATTATCCTTTCACCAAACGTTTTTTGCAGTACGTCGATAGTGGATTTAGTAGCTTGACTTGCGGCACCGCCTTGTTGGAACTACGTATGCAATAAATAAATGTCTCTCAAATTTAGCCATAAAATATTTGTCATCAAGCGCTATCGTTCACCAGTGACTGAAACTGTATCTCCACTATCTTGTATCTTCTTTTGTTAAAAAAAAAGTTTGATTATATCACTAGGCCATAAATGACACCATTTAATGATCTTTCCCGAACGCAAAGGCTTCTCTGCAAACTTATGAATTGCTTTCATACAAAAACGACAATTTTGTTCGTTAACATATCCCGTCAAACAGAAATGAGCATCATCTGACAAGATAATTTTTTATCCAAAATTAACGTTTCTGAAGCGTGTATTTAGCCATAAGCATACTAAACATGTAACTTTGAATCAGCAACAGTAATAGCAATTTAAATATGGTTAGCATTTCATTTTAAAATCATATCATTCTTATTGGAAATTTTTTTATATGGAACAGCGAGTAAGTATATAACATGGGATTTGGTAAATGAATATCTATATTATATGTGTGTATATCATAGGAGTTACTTACTTTTATAATGCTATCCACTAATTAATTGTTGTTTAATCGATTATTCCTTCGCATCCCAATAAACTCAACACGTAACTGATTTGTAGTTAACTCTTAAACATATTCCACTTACGGTTTATATATATATATATAATTATATATTCTCTAACGCCAAAAATTGCTGGCAGTTTCCAAGTTTTGCGTTCGAATCGAAATCTTTACTTTCTAGGGAACAGCTAAAACTTACTCACCTCGACGGCTCGTCGGAACCACTTTTCGGCGAGCGTCAGATTTTTGTCATCCATAGCCAACATCCCTAAATGGAAATATACTCTCTCGTTAACATCTCTCGCCTCTAGTAGAGCTTGTAACCTGATATAAAGATACATTACTACATTTATGAAGTGATAAATACAGAAAAATAAACATCTGTAACACTATATATCAGACGTCAACATCTGTATTATGGAGCTCACAATAATCTTTATAAATAATCAGGTAACTTTGTATGTAATTCTCCTTCAACAGACAATTGAATTTTATTTCTCTTTTAAAATTCTAGATATGTTCTTCATAAAAAATAATCCCATTACTTGCCGAAAATAATATAAATAATTGCGTTATTAAAAAAATAAAAAATTTGCACTAATTGCGTAAATTTAACAATACACAGTAGACGCCGCTCTATGTGATCACATTTATCCGTGACTATTTTTGATATTAAACAACGAGAAAAAAATGAAGTTCAAAATACGTAGCAGTGGAATTTAACTAATTTTACATAAATATAATCAGAAACATATAAATGGGTATTTTCATGACATTTTAATGAACCTTTATTCTTGATACATGGAAAGCATTCCTCGTTGAAAGAGAACATGACAATGTAAAATTTAAATTTAGGCTTAAAAAGTAAACTCTGTAGATGTTTAATGGATTTTTTTCAGAAACAAGGAAAAGGGGAAGAATTTCTTCAGATTTTTTGTTTTCCCCTCCTCCTGAAGAAGAGGACCTGTGTCTGATCTCCATTAGAATCGATAATATTGCGCAAAATATATGCCAAACTAAGGTTGCTTTTTTCACTTAGTTTTAAAGGGTTGGTTAAAATTGAAAGCAAGCTATTTGGCAATTTAATCCCTACTTGACGATTTTTCTTTGTTACTTGCTAATTTTTATGATCTATTGTCACCTTATCTGGCGGCTTTACTTCAGTTTAAGAAAACTCATTCTGTAAAATTTTGGCCATATTAGCCGAATTATTGATCGCAATATGTCAAGAACTTCCATGATTTCGTATACAAATAGGCATGACTTCGACAATTCGATAACAATATTCGAATGATAACATTAACCGCGATTACTTTACTCGGGATGTATGCGCAGTGCAAAATGCGCAGTGCAAAGTGCAGTGCAATGCGCAGTGTTAATGCAAAGTGATTAAGAGTGTGGCATTTATGTTTAAGTTCTACGAACAAAATGTTAGTTAATTTTACCTATTTACCTTATTTTGCCCGAGGTTCGCTCATTTTAGTGCTTATGTAGATTTGAGTGGCAAGTAGTTTTTTCTATAAAGTAAGAAGAATTACGAATAGTTGGGTCGGTGAGAGGTTTCGTCTTTCTACCGCAAATGCCCGGCCATGTAAAGTTTTGCTTTCTACTGGTGACTTTGATGCTGATTTTGAATTACTTAGTTTTGTGTGTACTTACATATTGTCTCGTATACCATGAAAACTGACGATTTTGCGCCTGTATAAACGTGACACAGCACTTAAAAACTTTGTAGGATTTGAAAGCCCTATCATGACGTGTGTAGTTGTAATGCGTGATCGCGGTGATTTTGATTTCTCAGGGCTTATTTTCGCGTTGGATGTCACTTAAGAAGTACGTTGCTTATTTCGTGCTTTACACAGTAAAATGACTGTCTGTGATAAGATTAATCTGAAGTTTCTGTACGATTTGAAACGAATGGGAAAAAAGAAATAATTGACTGGTGTGTAAATGAAGGTTTACTCAGTAATCGTTATAAGTATCCTGTTTGAACGAAACAAATGTGTGTGGTCGAACGTAAAAATCGTTCAGCTGGCTTTGAATGTGTTTGTCCGACACTACGAAGTCCGACAGTCCGGTACTAGCGAGTATATTTGTTATTCTTATTTTTGTGAATCTATGTGGCGACAGTTTATACAGATTCTAGTTCAGATTATTTTAGACAGTTTTCGGATGCTGTTAAGAAATTCTGTTTGCCCCATACCACAGACAAAGAAATTTCTAAGTAAGGTAAATCGATATTTTCTTTTTGTAGATTAGATAACATGTATTTTTAGTCTTATGTTATTTCCTTGTTTCATTTCAAATGCAAATGATTGAGATTATATATTTTTTCCTTTGGTTGTGTTTTATTGCATTTTACTGGGAAGGGCGTGGCACGTAAACAGGAATGGTGCCAAAAAATCGCCTATTTTCGCCACAGGGTACCCTGAGATCTATTTTTCCCTCCAAATTTTTTAAGGTATCTATTACCTTTCTTCTTCTTGAAGGATTTGCCCCTCTTTTAGAAATGTCCACTCCAGGCTTACTGAAGCAATTGGTAATGCGTGTTGATGTAACGTTTTTCCGTGCATCATTCATTTAACATCTCGCTTCGAGTACGTTTACCTTAGCACTAAAGCTTGTCCCTATTTTTTCCCATCTATCCAGAAGCATCAAAATCAAATGCTTACGAAAGTTTGATTTAAAATTCATGCTGACTCCTTCGCCCATAGGCTGGATAAAACTTGTAAAATTCGGTGGTAAAAATTCAATCCTGATGTTTGTAAATCCAGTGATTTCGGAATACGCTTTACAATTATCAGTTAAAAGAAAAATTTTACGTTTTTCTTTCCTCAATTTCCCTCCCTATCTTGAAACTAATTCTATGAAAACGTCCAAAGTCATCCAGGCTTTCTTATTGTGTCATAATTAGCAGGAAGTATTTTACATGCTTAAAACATCTAGTGTTTTTGGATTTCTAATAACCAACAATTTCGTCTTGCTAGTGCCAGATGTATTGGAACATACTAAAGCTATCAATGGATTTTTGGAGAGCTGGCCACCGATGCACATTTCACCCCTGAATTTAAAAGTTTACTGTGCGGTTACGTTGTAGAAAATGCCCGCTTAATCAATGTCATCTTTTGTACATCTTTCTTTGACTCTAATGACTCGCAACTTTGGACTCATCCATGTTGCGATATCCGCCATGTTTACAGACTTTGCTTCACCAAAAATTTTTGCAAATATTATCCCATGTCTATTCTTGAATCGATCAAGCCATCCGTTCGAACAAGTATAGCCAAGTTGTTTAGCAAATCTTTCTGCTTCAATATATTTCTTCCGCCTTCTTAGTATGCCTTCGTAGTGTAGTGGTCAGCACATTCGACGCCTATTCGACCGTGGTTCTCTTTAGCAGATCATCTTTAGCATATTTCTTTAAACATTTACAATCATTCCTATTTTGATCGGACGCAGCCTTTAATTTTTCTTGTGTTTTAAACACTGTTTAAAGAATACAAAAGATAAATTGTACGTTTTGCAGATTTTGGAATTTTTTACGCCGTCCTCTTACTCCGGCCTATAGATAAAATTTTAAGTTTCGACTTCGTCAGGGAAAATTTAACGAGAGTAATCTATGATTACAGATCAAAGAATGAATTCCATACAAGTCCCCTACTCTGCCATTCCTATGCAGAGAAAACTTCGGCTGATCTTTGGATTATGGTAACTTGGCGATTTTTTGGCGAAAATTTGGCGAACAACTCTGCTACAGCAACCCTCTATTTTTTTTTTCGCCGCCATTTTGTCTTCACGAAGTAAAGACATGTTTCTTTTCTTTTTATTTACTGAACACTTTTTTCAACAATCTACTAGCCGAATTACACTTATGCTAGAAATTTTATGTAACAAAACTGCTTAATCATGACAAATATTAACTGCAAAATTGGGAAAAAGCGCACAATCGCAAACTCCTTGCGCGTTTTTCACAATAACACATACGCATAAACCATGTACACGTCGACTTATTTTTACTTAAAAAAACATCCCAGAATTGCACAAAAATGGCATTGCACACACTCTTCACTACATCCATGTACACTGCTTTTTCCACATAAATTAGAAAAATTTCACGAAAATGCATGAAAATACTCAACGTATTCTACTCAAACGTATTCCAAAATACTACAAACATATAACTCACAAAATCACGATCATTAAATTAAAATAATTAAATTAAAAAACACTACTTAAAATATAAATAAGCACATACATTAAATTAATAAAAATTAGATTACAATCCTAATTACTTTAAACTAAATCATTGCTAATAAAAATTTTCCAATAATATCATATTAATTTATTTACTCCTTACATTTAGAACAATGCATTAAAATAATATCCTCAAATGATTAAAAATACTAACTTACCTAATCTTCAGAATGTTCATTACGTGGCACGCACACTTCCACTATTTCACACAACACACAATGAAGCTTAATACAAAATAATATAGTACTACAGTTTTCCAAATCCCCCCCCTTTTCAGATTAAAGAACTGTAATTCGTCCATTAATGTCACATGACATATCTCATGATCTCTCATTTCCCTCACACAAAATAATGCGTAATCGGAACTGAGTACTTCTCACATTATTACCAAAGTCCTAGGTAGTAACCTTTATCGCTTCCAAAATGTCGCCAAACTACCAGTTACCATATTCCAAAGATCAGCCAAAACGGCCGTCCGATCAGCGACCTCAGTCTTCTCAAGTTCATCGTAGGATGCCCTCACACGTGCATCCTCAAGTTAAAAAGACACAAGAACGACATCACGTGTTCGCAGGATTTATGATTCATCACGAACTTCTGGTTGACTTCGGAATGTTACAGGAATGTTTTCAAGAAAAGGTTAGCTGAGCTGAGAAATGGAAATCAATAGAAGTTTTATGAATCAAAAAAATATTGCTCGCAATAACCGGGTTTTGCTCCTTGAAAGCAAGCTGTACTACTATATATTCAACTTTGTACCAAACAAATACTTCTGATTTCCTCATTAAAGCCGACTTAATCGTTAAATCAACGCTTATTATAAGCGAGTTATACTATATTAGAAATCTACAAAACCTTTTTTAGGAAATGAAAAAACGAAACGGGTTGAAAACTGATTATTTCCTAATTGAAGAGGCATCAGGTCGTGTTCAGAATTTCGCATGAACGTTTGGCTCAACTTTGACGTGATCTCCGCCAACCTTCATTGTTTTTGGTAACTAGACTAGAGGGTCGACGGGATAATACGTAACTACCGTTTTGTAAAAAGTTAGTTTTGGTTGGTAAGTTGTACGTTTGAATCTTTGTCACAAACGAAGCTTGTAACCCTTGAGTTTATTCTACTTCTTGATTGTAAATAGATTAAATAGTTTGAAATTATTTGCAGCTGGAAGAAAACTCGTATTTTGACAGGTGAAAGTGACTGTCAGTTTTGCATTGTACATTTTAATTTAAACTTTACAAGCGGTGAGGTAGAATAAATTTAAAGATATTCTGTGTCTATTTGTCTTAGAAATTCTTTAACAGAATGCATTATGACACCATAATTTGATTGCAAGTGAGCTAGCTAAATCGATCTGGAACACAAGTAAGATGGTGCAGCATATCTGTCGATATGATCCAGTTTCTCTCAGAAAGATATCCATGACACATTCATCCCTGCGACAACCTAGCGCTTGAATATTTTGATACTGTCTGTATGTGATATTTAATGTTTTTCTCAGCTACTATTTTCTCCCCCTTCTATTTCTTGTTTTTTTGGGGGGGACTTGCACTTTTCATTATGGTAATCTTCAACAAATCCATACACGCTATTATGGCAGGAATATTAAAAATAAACATAATAACGCTCTCAAGTGCTTCTGACATTAGCGCTTTAGGCAATCAATTATTCTGTCCACAAATGACCGCGGACAAGGCTGGCTGCATGGGCGTTTTCGTAGTTATTCTCATGTGTAACGTCGATACGAGTCAGTTTCCCTTAAAATGTTCTCCATGGAATCATCCTTCTCTTTCCGTATAGTGCCGTAATTCTTTGTTAATGTTCCAGTACATTTTGTTTATGGATGCCCCATGATTTTATTTTTCTGCATATGACTTAAATACCAGATGCTTAGATATTATCGCAAACTTGTTGGAGTAATTTGGGAATGCTTAGATGAAAAGGTAAACGTTATCAGGTACAAGTTAGCGATTTCTGCGACGTAGCTGAAATATCGATATTTACCTGAAAAGACTCTTTAGCAATATAAAATACAAATTTTAATTATTAAATAAGGAATATACGATACATTAAGCAATCAAAACATTTTTTGCGAAAACCTTCTGTAATTTTTTTGCAGTGTTTGTTTTTTCCGTGTACACATCAATCTGTTTTGCTTAAACAACATCAGAGAATTGCACAAACTAGGCATTGCACTAGCTACCAAGCGAATCTCATCATTATTCACTTTACGATTTTGCTGCAAAACACTATATTATTTAGGAAATGTTGCTTCTTTCCTAGCTAGTTTCTTTCATTCCACAAGCACATACTTTAAAATTCTGTTTAAGGCAAAAAATAACACAGTTTGTCTACAACAAAGTCTGTAATTTGGAATCCAACAAAAAGAACCTATACGAAAATGGCGACGTTACTTGACTGAAATAATGAGCATGGTTACCTGGAAAATGGTTATGCGCCTGGTTGCCAGATTTTGACACGTTCTGAAAATGTGGCGACTTCTATTAAGATGATTTCGTTAATACTTAAGCAACTAACATTATTATAGTCAAAAGATATTTTTTACATTTTAGTGCATTTAGCTTAAACGGTGTAAATAAGAAAACTTTTTAATGCATTTAGTTTTATACATTTTCTTCTATAAAAATCGAAAAAGTGTGCAAAAAATCAAATCTACATTTTTAAATAAGGAAAATTTTTCTTTGTAATCAATGTAACAAAGAAATATATGCAATTGCATTCCTTCTCTGTATTTCGATCTGTCCTATGGCAAAAAATTTATTTTAAATAAATTAAATCTATGTTTGATTTAGAAAATCCGAGCACTTAAAATCACAGGAGTACAACTAACAATTAAGAATAAAATCGTTTGATTAAAGGATTGGATTATTCAATTATGCTAAAACACACGAGGGCTACCTGCCTAAAGGAAGAGATGCCTTCGTGGAGGAGTTTCTAAGGGAAACTGACTCGCATACACGTTACACATGGGAAAACCACGAAAACGGCCATGCAGCCAGCCCATTCGCGGGATTCGAATCTCGTACCGAAATACCAGTGTTCAGCGTCTTTACCGCTCGGCCGCTGGTGGGCTTTGTTTGATTAAAGAAAAACTTTAATAGTTAGCAACTGAAAAATAAATAAAACACTGCACACGATTACTAAAATAATAAAAAAAATGGGAAAACATTAATTTGAGAATTATTTTTCGAACTATCCAATGGTGTAAAAATGTAAATTCTAAGATAATGAGTTTTATTGTTAAAGAAGGGTATGTATGAGACATTCAACTAAATAGTAAGTACAACTAAAAAATTTTAATTTAATTTAAATTTAGCTAAAATAAATTTTAAATAAAATAAAATATAAACTAAAATAAAAAAGTTAGAATGCTATATAGAATTTTGGAAAATACTCTTGTGGAATATTTTTTTACTATATTTGTATTTAAATGAAACATTTAAAAGAAATCTGTATGTGTACATGGTGCTTAATTCTTAATGAAATTAATTTCAAGACACAAACAAACAAAAACCAGTTAAAACCATGTACTATAAAACTATTTAACCCATGAAAGCATTAAGTCAGCTTACCTGTGGTAAGCTGTTTTCCTCATATGTGGTCCTCCTGTTTCTTGAATCAGAATAGCAGAATTCAGAAGAGCTTGCTGAGGAAATAAAACAGAAATTTCAGACTAGATGTAATATACACATCATAAGGTAATCATAAGAATTGCATTTTTTTCACATTTTGCCAGGCTAAATACAATTTGGTTCAAAGTCGGCTTCCCACGAAAAAACCTGCGATATAAATAAAAAGATTTATAAAAGTTTAAATTATAATTTAATTATTTTAAGGTAAATCGTTACATTTCCCAGGAACAATTTTGTATGATATATTCTTTCTAGGGATACTATACAATGAATAAAACCTGTGATCAGACTGGAACATTCTAAAATATTTTGGATGTTCACTGATATTGAAATTATGATTAGTCAAAAGTCGCAGAAATGAATAATTAAGACGCGATGGATATACATTTCAGATTTAAGTAACCTACTAACTTTCGATAAAGAGCATACATATCATTGATGAAAATAATAAAACTTTTTCACGTGTACCTTTCTGTCTGTTTATTTAAACAATTCAAAAGAATAATAACTCTCTTTTAGAGATGTTCATTATTTTGGTTTCACGGATTTGATGACCTGGCAGGCTAGTCAGTTTCGCTATATGAAGGAAACCTTTTTTTTTAAATCGTTTTTTGGTAAATCTCATGCACAAGCGAACCGGTTAAATAAATACATAACTATTTATTGAATAATTAAGTATTCTATTTATTAAACACATGCACAAGTCTCCATTTAGAGTCAGTTTACGATGAAATGCTGTAAGTGCAATTTTTTTATTTCCTTTAATTTTGAAATTTTGAACATTTTAAATTACATTTTTAATAAAAGATCTTATGTTTTATACTGTTGTAAATTTATGTTAATATTTAAATCCTTTTAACTGTTTATGAGCATTGCTGTAATATCGTGTATTGCTTTATGTATTTATTGGTTTAATTTTCCCGTTAAAGATAATAGCTTTATGAATTATAATGGGTGCAATTAAATTTGTGGTCGAATGATTTTTGTGTAATGCAGAATCATGCATAATGCAGAATTTGAGGTCTTTTAATTCTGAATTCAATAGCGTTTAAATTATTAAATTAACTCAACTAGAACGCAATCTATGTGCCTAAAACACATTTGACGGGACTCGGCCACAATTTTTGTGTCTATGTTAACGGTATTTGGCAATTTTTTAACATTTTGGCGGCTCTCTGGAAATTTTCAGATAATAATTTTTCAAGGCCCTAGGAATATGATTTTTTCTGTATTGTCCAGAAGCGTAAGCTACATTGTATAAATACGACTAGAAACAACCAGAAGTGAATCTCTTCAGCTCTCTCCTACATCCATAATTTGAGCCTGATAGTCATAGCCTGATAACCGCTCTCATTCCTGAATGTGTTATGAAGAAAAGTTTCGTGAGAATTCAAACACAAAAAAAAAATAACTTATCTGTTAAGACATCTAATGTTATATCTGAAATTCCTATATGTTAAATGTTCAATATGAAACTACTTGCCGTGAAAAGGTTTCTTCTTCCTCTTAGGGAGGAAAACTAAACTTTAAGAATTTGCCTACTAACAAGCTTTTAGTGATCGTATAGTGAAACGTGTACAGCATTTTTGCGTTGTGAAAAAAAAAATGCATCCCGGGACCGCGCCGTGAGAGGATCGAAAACATAAAACATATACAAGATATAAAGGAAAAGTTCATATTAAATATATAAAGAAAACATACTGTAAGGGGTTCCAGATTAACTATCAGCTTATTCAATTACATCACAATAAGAAAAATCTTAACCTCATCTGAGAGTCTTTACATTTAAATTCACAAAAAACTTAAGGTTTGTCTGGTAATTTAAAAGAAAGGAAAGGGAAACAATTTAAGCCTGAGAGTTAAATTTTAGATTCGACGTTGTTTTTACTGCTAAGGACGTTTTTGAAAAACTTGCCTAAAGTTCAAACACACCAAAAAAAAAATAAAACTTATCTTGAGGGGACATCTTGAAGGTCGACCGGGCTCATCGTTATACTGGTATGTTATTTTTCCACTGTAGAACAGAAACAGGAGCACTGCTGCCCAGGACGGCTATCCGCTTGGTCTTGAAAGTCTAAAGTCCACACGCAGGTAACTCGTTCAAATTTCGCCTCTTTACCAGCACGCCGCACGGAAGAGTGTTTTCAGCTTCAGGCCAGAAACGTTTTTTCTAGGCAAATACGGCTCGCCTGTTCTTACTCATCCCAAGAGCAAGCTTCACGAGTAACGTCCCAAGTAAGTTCCACCCGCCAGTCAGCAGAGAGAGTCGCCTCTTAACCAAAACGCGGGCCGGGGAGCATATTTGCCGCTCCCCGCCGGGAAACATCTCTCGTAGTGAACTACATATTGTCGATCTCTTTCCAGCCGGTTTTCAAGAGCAACGTCCACAAGTCCACAAGCCCGAAAGTCCGCGAGTCCAAGAGTGAGTGAGTCAAGAGTAAGTGTGAATCCAACTCGAATTTCCTTCGTCTCCTTCACAAAACGGGCTCCCACTATGGCTTCACTTATCGCCCCCTTAATTATGGCAAAATCTTCGTTTTCAACTCCAGAATGCGGAAATAAGGGTGATCGCGCATGCGCGCCCTTCTTCACTTAGCCAACAACCGGACCCTCAATCGCCAAAAACTGAATGACTTACATTGAAAGACAAGTAGCAACCTTTGACCTTTTTGGTCACGTACTTTCCTCTCTTAAGGTCAACTAACAATGAAAATTCTTTCTCGAACATTCTAAAGGACAAAGCGCGCGAAATCATGACTTGGCGAAAATTGCCTCCCTTTCCCTGCTTCTTTCACAATGAATAAAAGTTTGTACAAGATTTGCAAATAAAAGAAAATAAATAATATTCATTTAAACTAAATAATATTTCCCAGAAGCATCTGTTTTTCCCCAAAATTAAAGCCTTAAAATAAATAATTCAGAATCAAATAAAATTAAGAATTTCCATAAATCATAAAATCATTCACCTAATTTTTATAACGCTATCAGATAATTTCTCTACATAACATTCCTTTCCCCTAAGGAATTAAATTTTGGTTTACCAAAATTTAGCAGACAGACACTTCTTGAAATACCATGACTCATACTGTGCAATAAGGCTAAAGGATAACATAATGTAACAATATTTCACACGACTCCTTGGTACAGTGACGTTACTGACACATTAAATTTCAAGTCCAAATGTGCAAGTAAAACAACAAGATTAATCAAAGCAATTTCTAATTAAAATACTCAAGGAAGATCATCAAAAACAATTAATCAAAAACATCAATTAAATCACTTAATTAATTAAACCTAGAAATACTCAGAACACATACAAAAATAAAAATAAAAATAAGGCGTTAATCACAAACAAAATATGTCTAAGATCAATCAATAATGACAAAAAGAATTTCTCTTTTTTTTTTTTTTTTTCATTGCATCACATTAGTGTTGCAGTCTCTGTGTGGCCACATTTCTGAATGTTTATTTATCTATTCATTCTTTCCCTTCAGTCCATTAATATAAACAATTTCACCTGAGGTCGAACACATTCTACTATTGTGACAATTTCTGCTGAGCACAATCATGGAGTTCATTAAATGAGTACGGAGTTGTCAATGCAAGCGAGGGAAAATCCTGTAGTTAGAAATCCTTGTGTTAACAAACTCCCCCCTGCAGCCTTCAACGCGAGAAAATGAAAGCAACCAACCCCGGAATGTGAACTCAGCACCACAATACTCCTTAGTAGAGGAAACTTGACCTTAAAAGAAACCAGATTTCACCCTCCTACGTCTCACCTTCGACCAAGGAAGAACAATCACTCTTTCAAAGTTGAAGAAGACTTTATCTGTCAATTTTTCCCTTACGATAGATAAGCCACTGAATGTGTTCGGATACTCACACCCGAAGAAAGAAATAATCTAATCCAATTGTTCACACCAAAAAAAAAAAAAAAAAAAAATAAATAAATAAATAAAAATAAGATAATCAACGCGCCGCAGATACATAAAATACATTCCTGAGAAAATAAACACACTTATAATTCAAACAATTCCAAATAAAATATGTCACATGAACGTATTCAAATAAGGAGTAAAGACCCCCTTAAGTACTACGAAATTGAATAACTTCCCGGAATGAATCCCAAACAATCACGTCTAAGAACAGAAGCGGCCTGATCAGGGCCAAGCATTAGAAAAGAAAAGAACGTTACAACACAAGGAACCTCGGAACCAGCCGAAAATACCCCACACAAAAAAATCAGAAAGAAAGAAAACGTGATTGTCCAAAAATTCGATCCAACCAAAATCAATTCCGAAAATAGCAAATCCAGAATACGCTGTGCAAATACCAATTAGAATTTTATCCAATACACACAAAAAATAATAATAATAATACAACCTAATGCATATACAAAATAACGTTTGGCCAATATTTACAAACAAATACTACCAAGATACACATATACACATAAAATGAAAATACAATTAAACTGTAAAAATTTCGTACATAATTCAAATGAGCAATGAGATCAGTGATACTTAAAAAAAAATTTTAAACTGCAATACCTAAACAAATACACAAATAGTCATTACGTTAAACCATATCAAGTCAAAAAAAATATCACAGTAAAATACAAATCAAGCCAAAAAAAATCAACCAGCAAAAGTGAAGTGTCGCTACAAATTTCAAACCTCTCGGTAAACACTAGTGAGTAACAACATCATATTTAAGTCCCCTTAGTAAGACAACAACCAAAAAAAAATTTCAGTAATTCTAAAAATCCATTAAGGTCCACAAAAAAAAATTTCAACTAGTCAAAGAAATCAATCAAAGCTGGACTGAAGCACGTTACTAGAACACTAAATAAAATATCACAAATCAAAAAAGTGTTCAAAACAAACCCCCCAATTTTAGGCAAAAACTGAGATCTATTCTGCATCAGACTCTTCCAAAACGTTGTATGGTAACCTAAGTAGCAGCCTTCAGCAACACCCAAACAAAAGAAACAAAGTAACTCTTTACCGCGTCC